GGTGTTATACTGCACCCTGACTGGCTCATTCCCTCCCCACAATCCTTCTGTAAGGGGATCCTGGACCAATCTTATAAGCTCTTTTGTCTAACATAATTCATGTGTCCTAGTCATGCTCCCGTTACTGCTTCTGTAGTCCCCCTTGTACATGTGATATATTGATCTGCTGCCAATCATGCCTTTTTGACAGTTTCCTTAACCCTTTCATATCCATTGTTAAGTCTGTGAATCTCAGCAACCACTTGGATGCAAGTAGGACTTTGTACTAATGGTCTCCCTTATCCAGATTATGTATCTGTCAGGTTTAAGATTTAATAAATGTTCTCCTTACTTATAATTGAAATTTGGGGATTTCTATAATACCCTAAAATACAATGGAAGATCAACTAAAAGCTCCACACCTCAAGACCCTGAGGTTTGCACCTAACTGTGTTCACACCAAAAAAGGATGTGATGATCTCTTCATGAGGGCAAGTTACTGAGCAAGGCCACATTGTAAGAATTAATTGTTATTAGATTAGGGCTTACCACTAAATGTGAGTTCAAAACCCATAAAGTTTATACAGAACTTTATTATTTGTTTATTTATAGGTAGTATTTCTTTATTGTGTTGAGGAGGAAGTTGAGGCTCAGAGAGTGGCAAAAGGAGGATTTGAATCCATCTGATTGATGAAAACACCAATGTCTCCCATCTTTCCTTTATATTTGGCTCCTTTCTGGTTCCCTGCAGCCTCACCCTCTCCCTCAGCCCCTTTCTCTTTGCCCTGATTCATTTTATAACTTTAAAGTTGGTTCACTTTAGAGACAGAATTGTCAGTTTACTTAGAAATAATCTAAGTAACTGCCAGGAGACATTGGATAATTCTAATAATAATATCATTAATCTAGTCAATGGTATAGATTTCATAGTACTATTGAGAAAAGGAAGAAAAATATTTACATAAGAAAGCTTTTTAGACTAAAATACACAGGATGTTTACTAATACAAGTTAAAAAGTTAAGTAACTGAACACTTTAAGAAAGCAACAAGCAAGAGAAAAAGGAAATGTTTTGAAACTGATGATGGTACCAATTTTACAATACTGCTCAATGTGATTGAACTATGGAATGTTATGTATCTGTAAGATCTCCCAGTACAATGATTTTAAAAAAAAGAAAAAAGAAAGCAAGCAATGAGCTCTTTCCCTGTTGCCCCTGAGTTGTGTGGAGGTAGAAGCCAGGGCTCATTCAAGACTTGGTTCTAATCCAAAGAAGGGAATGGTATCAGAGCTTAAATTGTGAACACCAGATTTGCAGAAGGTAATGGAGGGCAGTGGGAAGCTAAAATCCAATTGCAGGGGCCATATATTGATTCAGCCCCTGATGAATAAATACCTTCTGACTATAGTCCACAAATGTGAATAGCCTTGCTATCAGACGTTATCAAAAACTGGATTATGGCAGATATAATTAGGTTAAAATGTGATACTTGATCATTGTTTTCCTATTTACCCATTTTTTAGTAGTAGTTTTATTGACATTATCTTACACTTTTTAATATATCCATTCACATAGAATTCTGTTGTTCAATCCCATTGGGTGAGGTTATACAATCATCAATGCTATCAGTCCCTCTTTTCCCGCTTCCCCCTCTCTTCCCATACCTCCTGGGAACCATTACTCTGTCATTGTCTCTGAAGGGTCATGTATCTTGACTTTCATTTACTGAATGATCTTAAATTAATACAAATTAACATATGCAAATCAAATTTATGATTAATGAGGTAAAACATACAAAACATTAATAGTAAGGGGAGGAAATATTAAAGAACTAAAGTATAGTTAGGTGTTTCATCAGTGCCATACCTGACCCTGGATTTATCATCCATATCGTGCAGCCTTTCTGAGAGGGACTATCCAATTACCTTGCAGGTGGGTTTTGGGTCTCCACTGCATCCACTCCCCTTCACATTAAGTTGGTTGTGTGTTTTTGAACTTCTGATACCTCTCTTCCCATCACTACCTCATGATCAAATAGGCTGGTATGCCTCTTCCATATGGGCTTTATTGCTTTCTTGTTAGATGGCTGCTTGTTTAATTATAAGACGCCAGCAAATATATCCTTTAATAGCTGGCACCATCAGCTTTCTTCACCACATTTGCTTATGCACCCATTTTGTCTTTAGCTATCATGTGAGGAAGGTATCATACAGAACCAAATTATTAGAGCAACCCGTTCTTGTACTAAGGCAAGAGACCCAAAGTCCATCTGTTTCCTTGTTACATACATACATATTTGTTTATTTTTCCTCCTACCCCACAGTTAGGTTTACCTAACATTCACAGTAATTCCTCTCAGCTATAATTCAATTTTTCATGTGTCAAGAAAAGCTACCCACTCAATTTTAGAACTCTTGTTATTCTCTAGTACCAGTCATTAATGGTTCCCTGTTCCCCTCCCCCGTTCCCCTCTTCTCCCACCCCCTGTCACCCCCCAAACCCTGAGTTGCCTATCCTGGATTTCTTATACAGATAGATACACACAAACACACACCAACCCAAAAAACCCATAAAAGTAGTCACAAGTCTAGCAAAAATGGCACAGAGCAGATGAGTACCTCTAATGCTAAAGAAAGAAAAAGACATGTTAAATAGCCATCAGTTCAGTCCCCACGACCCATTTTTAATTTGCTCTAGTTTTTAATACTTCTAGCTTTTTTTCTCGAATGTGTTTTTTCCCTCTGGGTTGTGATTGTTGTGCAGACCTGGCAAACAATCTCACCCGCCTAAGGGATGTAATGCCAGCAGAATATGACCTCCGAACACCTCCCCACGCCAGCAATAAACGAGGCACATCTGGTTCTGAGACACCATGCGTGGACCCTACCCCAACTTAACGGCCATCTAGGACGTCTCCAGCCGGTACCAAATACACACACCCCTTACCGGTCCAATGCCGGGTTCCCACCCCGACCACGAAACGCAGCACGAATGAAGCGCTCCCCCTCACAAAACTGCTCGGAAGGCGACCCTGGACGCGCGCCGACCTGCAGAGGACGCGGCATCCGCTAGGTGCGGGCGGACCGCGGCCGCACGGCCCGGGCGCCGGAAATGCAAGGCCCGGCCCGCTCCAGACTCTTTGTCCGGGGCTAACCCACCGTCTCGAAAACGGAATCCTTAGTTCGGGACCGAGGAGGCGTCACAGCTCCAGACCGGGACCAAAGGCCCACGGTGCTCCAGGCTGTCTCCATTCCTCGCCCCAAACGCGTCTGGAGCCGAGACCCCTTCCCCACACACGGCGCCCCGGGAACCCCAGGGCGTTGAACCCCCAGAGCGCGGCCCGGCCTCCGCCCGGAGCCTCCCCGTCCCGACGCGGGGCCCACCTGCCCTGCCCCGCGTGACCGCGCGCGAAAAGCCACTCGGGCG